GCCTATAGTATGAGTTTGATTCCCACCCCTGGCTGTGTGTATTCCAGTCCAAAGATGTCTCCAAACTGCCTATAGTAGGAGTTTGATTCCCACCCCCGGCTGTGTGTATTCCAGTCCAAAGATGTCTCCAAACTGCCTATAGTGCATCACTGTCAGTGTGTGCTCTGCTGTGGTCTAACATTACACCAATATTGTATAACCTGTGTTCCCTGGAATATGGTGGAAAATGGCTAGATCTTCAAAACCTCAGGTCGCCCACCATGTTTCGGACCACCGGCTCTCGTACCTGACGGAGGCGGAGCTTGTTGGAGGATGACTGCGCCGGTTTCCTTAAATTATTACAGAACGTCTGCAAGCATTTCATCCAGTCCTGCAGATTAGAAAGATCAGGCGACGATGAGATTATGACGCCTTGGATACTCCTCACAAACACGGAGAGGCTGGCTGAGGCTGCTGGAGACAGGGCCGCGGGATGTGGGCTCTTCTTCACCCGCGATAAAAATATATTCAATATTTCACAAGGAAAAACTGCATGGAAAGGATATGGTTAGGAGAGCAGACAATTCCAAAGATTACAAAAAACATCTAGTAGTGACTTATTGAAATATAAACTTTAAATTGGATAAAAACTTTTTTTTTTTTTTTTTTTAAACCATCCTGCTGACAAAAATCAAGAAAATAAATTATATTGCACCAATAGCATGTTTGTAAAGGGGAGATTTTCATGTGGCTAGAGAGAGGGGAATAAAGCGCCTCATGGCCTCCAGTGCACACGCCTTCCTACCTGAGTCTGCTCAGACGAGTCGCCAGCGAAGTAAAAGATGTACTGCTCTTCACTGAAATGCTGAACCATGATCTGGAAGCAGTTTGGCCTGTAGACAAACAAGGACGGTAGGGCATGGTAAGGCGCGTGAGCCGGGGTGAAACGTCATCATCATCATCACCATCATCATCGTCTTACTGCGAGACACCACTCGCACGCTGCCCCCTGACCTTTCGAACAGACTGTCGTGGACACCGTACACGTAGCACACGCTCAGGTCGATCAGGCCTTTGGGTTTGGTCGCCCGCTTCTCGCTCTCGAAGTAAATGAGCTGGGCATCGCTCCCCTCCAGGATGAAGTACAGGGGCTTCCAGCGCTTCCCTTTGCCTGCTCCACAAGCGGCACCACAGGATACAAGGTAAACACACGAAGCCACGAGCAGCCACTCTGCGAGCACTGCCCTACCACGGCAGACGCACCTTTCAGGAGGCACCACAAGGTAAACACACGAAGCCACGGCAGACGCACCTTTCAGGAGCTGGAGATAGCCCTTCTTCACGATGTTTTTATAAAATGAGTCCTTAGCCTTTTGCCGGATAGTGTTATAAATCGCCTTCCCGTCCTCGTCAGAGTATACCTGTTCCTGGTGCTGATAAGCACAATAAAAACTTGTTACAATCCAGCAGTAAGTGATAGCTGTGTGACTGCCCCCCCCCAGCCCCCCATGACTGGGGACACCATTCCTACCTGAACAGGTACTGGGTCTTTCAGGTAATATCCCTCCACAATCTGCTCTTTTTTGTAATGGTCGATGACATCATCGATACTATATACAAAAAAAAAAAAAAACCAATATAGACAAATACTTAAAGAATCCCAAACAATAGCCACCGTCACATCTGAACTGTTGCAGAGTAGAAGTGTGGAAGTCTGACTTTTACCTGTTGTAGTACCGCCCCCCCACCGTGAACTGGTGGTTGGGAGTGGGGCAGATCTTGAACCTTTGGATGTTCTCGCCCGTGCGGAAGAAGAGCGAGTAATCCCCAGGAGTGCTGTCGGATGGTCTGACCAGGAAGCTGCATACCCGTCCGACTAGGCGGGGGGGGGGGGGACAGCCTCACATCATGACTATTACGGCTTACAAACTCCTTTTAGATAGACATTCAAGTTTTTATAACAGATGTGTCATTCAAAGATATTCTAATGTTAATTACAATTATCAAACAGACCCAGCCCATCATTGCAGAGGAGCCGGAGTCGTGCCTAAGCATGCAACGTTACTCTGCTACTGCCTTACGTGAGGAAAATGAGGAGACCATAATATGTAATGCGTTTCTATTTAGCTACCCACAGGACAGAAACACCAACAGCACCAATGAAGGTGTCTAAATTATGGCATGACATTAGACAGCCGGCATTGGCTTACGTGCATGAAATAGCTTAAAACTTCAACATCATGCCGTCAAATGCTGCTTTCAGTCTGGGATACGTCTGTAGTATTTTTGATGGTATTTTCCAAAGCAATGCTATTTATTCATTGAGCATTTATTTCACTGGTGTCCTTGTTGGCTAGTTTCAGCCATTTTGGCCAACTCAGTTAATTTACGGAAGTCTGCCCCTTGTGGGGCATTTTGAATTCATGTAGCAGATTATTATCCAAAGCGACGTACAACTGAGGCATACAGCACATTACAAACATACGGCTGTCAAGGGGTTAACTAGCTGGAAGTGGAGCTAGACTGAGCTTCCAATGAATGTCTGCATGTAGCACTATAGCAATGACTATCCTGCAATCAATGCAGATTTCACTGTTTTTACTCAAAGCACGTGAGAAATATGCAGCCAAGTATCTTTTGTATTTACCATCCAGCAAATGAATGTAGAGTATTAAAATGTATTAATTTTTCGTGTTAAAATCCGTCGATCACAGGAGCGGGCAGCATTAAATTGGTCGCTTGTCTCAGAGAGGCCGTGATCCACAACATGCTACATGAGCCCCACAGATGACAGCAGGAGATACGGCGAGAGCCCGCTACCTGTCATCAGCAGGCTGTATGCTTCGGACTTGCTGACTTTTCCGTGATACCACCTGGGCGATGGAAAAAAGCACATTATCAGTAAAGATAAACTACTGAGACAAAAGGAAAAAACCTTGCATGCTCTGGAAACCAAATCACTGGACCAGCCAATCACAATCAAGTACAGGAATTAAATAATAATAATAATAATAATAATAATAAATAATAATAATAATAACCAGCCAAGCACAATCAAGTACAGGAATTAAATAATAATAATAANAATAATAATAATAACCAGCCAAGCACAATCAAGTACAGGAATTAAATAATAATAATAATAATAATACATACACTTTTCCCTCTTGTGGATCCTCCTCTCGGCCCTGAAACCACCGACAAAGCGACTTAAAATAAACCATATAAAGATAAATATGAAGCTGGCAAATAAAATGGATGTGATGGGGTTTCCCGATGGCATGAGAGCTAACCTACCACTGGCTGCACCAGGTCCTCCACAATGAGGCCCTGCTCGTCAGTGCGCAGATTCGTCACCCACATCCAGCCATCCTCCAGCTCGTTGTGCACGATGAACATGTCACCCTTCAGGAAGCTGGCAGGAGGACGGCACATCCAAGCAGGAGAGTGTTAAATAAAATGGCGTCTTCAGGGTATAACACATTTATAACAGAGCATCTACTCACTTCAAGGCTGGTGACAATACATGCATTTCGTTGCATTTGTCTTAATTGTCCTGCCATGCAATTCCTTACTTAATCAGCAGATGTCATCATATCACCGCTTTTAACTGTTTTTATGAAAAGCACACACACACACAATAAAGGCATTTCTTTCTGCTTTAGTTGTTAAAATACATCAGTTAAATATTTTCTAAGCATTATGAAACCCACATCTGGCAAAGTTTCCAATATCAATGTATGAAAAACAAAATGTCCCCTTTTGGGTGACTTCTGGTGACACAGCCTCTCCGTGCCAAACAGACCCTTGGCTGTACCTGATCTCATCTGTGTCCGGCACCTTTGTGTAGGGCAGGATGGCTCGCACCCGGCGCCGGTCCTCCACGGGCTGCAAAGACAACCAAAGCTCTCTGTCGTTTGTCCTCAGAAATGCTAAATACCAAGAAAGGGCATGCTGGGAATATGCTAAAACCGGCACAAGCTAAGGTCCCCGTGAGCTGCACTTCTACAGCGCTGCAGTACGGACTGAACGGACATATTTTATATTTTATATTTAAATTTTAGCTCAGGAAGGATAGTGACACTCTGCTTCAAAACCTCACCTCTGACGTGATCTAGGCATTTAACCCCATTATTCAGTATATGATTGTAAAAGAAAGAAAGAAAGAAAGAAAGAAAAAAGAAAGAAACCCATGCAAATCATGATAGCCTAAAGGGAAATCTATGTTATCGAAAATTGTTATTTTAATGTTAATATAGAAGTAAATGAGTGGATTAGAAGCCGCTCTTTTTCGTTTATGTATCTATCCTGTGTTATTGCTACTGCTCACAGTCGCCATCTTTTGCACCAGTAGATTGACCTCTGGTGGCATGTGCTTTGCACTACAATACATCTCCTTAGTACAGCATCTCCAATACATCTCCCCAATACAGCATCTCCTCAATACAGCATCTCCTCAATACAGCATCTCCTCAATACAGCATCTCCTCAATACAGCATCTCCTCAATACAGCATCTCCTCAATACAGCATCTCCATATCAGCTGAACAGAAAGAAGACAGGCTGTATTTTTCACAGCATTAAAAACGTCCGATTTCAGGGTTTCTAAATACTGGGGTATAACGTAACACCGTCATGCCGTACAAGCCTACTTTCCTCCTTCAGTCCAATTAGAAATTAATAACCTGGAATTCAATAGGAATTTTGAATTATGTTTCCGATTCCTACATGAGCATTTTTGCTAAATTTTCAATAAGTGCCACGAGTGGAATAAGTTAGTTTGCAGTCCTGTCAAGGGAGGTGGGGAAATTCTATTCAAAGCAGAATTGCCACATGAGGTGGCGGGGGGGGGGGGGGGCACATCTTACAGGAGTAAGTGATAGTGTGTTGGTTTGACAGGTTATCTGAGGACAAGGGCATGAGTCAGTGGTCAGATAAATGGAAGAGAGAGAGAGATGGAGGAGCTCCTTCCGGCGTTACCTCGGGTGGGGGGACTGGGGAAAGCAGCTTCTCCTCTTTCAGCAGGCATGACACGTAGCTGTAGTAGCCAATCAGGTCTGACAGGGAGGAGAACCGACGCCCCCCGATGTAGTAATCGCCACACATGGCGATAATCCTGCAGGTATACAAGCACTTGCATTAGCATGGACGCTACATGATCTGGCTCCGTGCCGGCCACTCGAAAGCCTGTGGTGAGAATTTCTCTGAACACATCCAGTGGCCAAAAATCCTCCGTCAGATCTAGAGCCAACATCCGGCACAATCTCTGCTGGTTACGACTCTGTGCCCGTGATCGGAAGGTTGCCAGTTTAAATCCTGTGGTCAGCAGAGTGATGTCACCTTGGAACCTTTGAGCGAGGCCCCTAACCCCCAATTGCTCCACAGATTGGTTGACCCCGATTTCTCAATTGTATGTCACTTTGGACAAAAGACCCTGCTAAATGAATGTCAATGCGCAAATTCACCACCTCAGGGCAATCATCCAGAGCAAAAAAAATAAATAAAAAAAATCAATTAAACATGAACAATAATCAAATAAATTACCCACAATGCAAACACTTGAAGCCAGGTGTGAAGGAGCAAATAGGAAAAAAAAAAAAGGGGGGGGGGGTGGACAAAATCAATGCTGTATGAAGTTTTCAAACAGACACAACATTGTCACATAGCTTGTAGCTCATGGTCATAAACGTTTTAAGGCTTGATGGTATAATCAGTAATAAGCAACATCAGACATGTAACCTGGTCTCAACGTCAACAGTAACTAACTGGTTCTTACTACACACAAAGCAAGGTAACGGTTCAGCCTTCCAGCCTAAGCTTCCAATTACGATTATTTTTGCTCCATGTGTGCTGCGTGAAGGTACCAGCGGCGTTAACGTCGGCTGTGCCGGCAGCACACAGCTGGGGCTTACCGTAAGTTTGTGAACCACTGCGCAAGAGATTTAGCCAGTGCAGGACATAACATGGCTTTACATCATAGTTAAATCCGGCCTGCCAATTGATCATTTTCCGCTAATCAGCGACCCCCACCACCAGCAGATTATCCATATTAGGGATGGGAAGTTCAGGCAGAATTACTAAATAAATAAAATACAGAAACAATGACAGATAGATGATTGCTCCTTGTTGGGAATTTCTCTTCTCGCCTATTACATCCTTCTCTCCATGGCACACAGACACACAGGAAGGTGGAAGTACGCTTGGCAGTGAAGGGCAGCCAGCTGCAGTGGCGCTAATGGTGCTGGGGGGTGAAGGGTCTCGCTCAAGAGCGTCCATCAGGCACGTACCCATAGTATAAATCAGCCTTTATGCGGCACACTAGCGCAATCAGAGCTTAAATCAATACCCCTCTCTTCCTTTCTCTGAGGAAAACACTTTCTATACACTTTCGAATGGCCAAAGTCTCAGGGAAGGGACTCCCCCAGAAACCACGGCATAAAACTAACGAAAAATTACCATCATACATGAACCGCACTTAGGGTAAAACCCCATATTACTGAAGTTATACCAAAGCACAAAGCTGAGCTATGACAACTGATTTCCCGCTTAGCATACAATGGAAATCCTGAGTTTTTTTCAATGATTTTCTTGACAAAAAGCACTTTAAATACATTAGTGTGTAACTGATGATAAATGAAAAGGTTCCCTATCCAGTCATCCCTGAAAACTCAATAGTTAGACATTGTTTCAGTTCTTAAGTTACAAGAAAACATCTGCATTCTACCATACGGTTAATCATTCAATGTAGCCTATGAGTATGCAACAACGGTAGGATGCAACATCAAATAACTGGAAATTGAGTAAATATAAAATTCTCAAGTGACTACACTCAATTTCCTTTATGAATGGAATGAAAGGAGGCAAAAATCTGCACGTGGTGACGATTCACCATCTCAGGGTTAGTTGTAGGACACAAATTCAACCAGCCTAGATCTACAGTAGTGGTCAGAGTGCATTTATCACAGCTAGCAGAACCCAGAAAGATCAAAAACAGAACAACTGTTAAGGATGGGCTTATCCACATCTTATCAGTGCCAATCTGGTTCCGATACACAACTGCTGATACCCATACAGATTCCAAGTTCCCTTTTTACTAAAAAAATTTATATAATGAATACATTTATACTTAATATATTAAAATTTTTAAACTAGCAAATACAGATGAAAAATGCCAAAAAAAATTAGGCTACTAGAATCATACATAACATACTGTTCCACCTCTTTGTAGATCATGTCTTAAAGCATTTTTGAGGCATTTTGCAGTTCAATTTTGAATATTTTCCAAGCGAGGATAAGCAATTCTTAAATGCAAATTCTTGAAATGCCTCACAATGTTTTTCCCCACTAGAAACAGGGTCACTTATACGTCACTCACATAGTAGCTCCTCGTGTATCGCAAGCTGTAGCGAGTGTGCAAATAAGCCCAAGCCAGTGACTCCCAAACCATCCATGCTTCTTCATGTTACTTGTGTTGTCTTGTGTTGATTCTGCGTGCGGTTTGTTTAGAGCGATTTTCCATTAAAAGCTACTTTCATCTCTCAAAACTTAGTTTTTACAATCTGCTGTGCTACTAGTTGCTGTTAAAAGCGTAAAGTACTTCCAGACTGTCACCCCCTTATCTGCTGTTTTTCCGCTTCTCTTGCTGAAAAGGGGCATGCGTGTGACGTCACAGCAGGCGGAGTCACTGTGCTCACCCACTGAGTGGCAGCATTAGCGTTCAGCTCGAATGCCGCAAAAAACACGAATAAACTGGGAATGAGCTGTTGTGCGATTGACTGTACGAATTGACGTAACAAGAAATAGGAGCTATCTTTTTAGAGACTGCCGAAAACTAAATAGGTATCGGACGTGGATCGGTCACATATAACCGATCTGTCTAATAGGTATGGTGCACCTCAACTAACGTCAGCATCCAGACCATAGACCATAGACAGACCATAAAAGCTTCAGCTCAACATATAGACTGACAAACCGGTCTTCCTGGTGCAGCGGGTCTCCCTGCTGTGTCACGGGCGATAAGTGACTCACCTGAAGTGGTTGACTGCGCCGGTGACGCTGAGGAAGGAGAGCACGAAGGAGCCGGGCCGCCGCTCGCTCTCGCGGACCAGGTAGCTACCCGGTGTGCGCGCCTGCCGTAGCCGCTCCTCCGCCATGCCGCGTTCCAGCTTCCCATGGTACCACCTGCGGAGAGGAGCCACTCCTCAGTCAGTCACGTGCCGACCACGGCCCCACACACGCCCATCATTCTCACAATTCAACGGCGGGACACCCAACAAATAAAACGGACATCGCTCCGGTGGGTGATCATTGGATCACTGCAAGAGTACGGCTGCTGCACAAGGGATGATCCGGCAGAGTGTGCCCATGGGTCTGTGCTTGCAGTCAAACAACAATGCTGTGTTAATTTAGGAAGGCAGGGAGTAACTACTTAACCTCAACTATCCCCAAAACATCTAGGCAACACGTCTGAGATCCGCACCAACTCCTCAGTAACTCTAGACCAGGGTTTCCTAAATCCAGTCCTGGAGGATAAGTTTGCTGCACAGCCTGCAGATTTCCCTGCTCACACACAGCAGATTTGGGGAGCTCTGCTTTAGACAGTAGTGTAGACCTCAAGTACTGAACACCAGCTCACTGTTATGTTGAATTTACAATCACGCCATTGGCGTTACTTACTGATTTACTTTAGCAAATTTACCCCAGGCCTCCTTCAAAAGTCAATAATTGGCATCGACATCATGGAAAAGCTGCTGTCGTTATCCCCCCCCCCCCCGTCTCAGTACCCCATTCTCCACGGAGAGCAGAGCACCTGTCACCTTGTGCGGTGACACATCCACAGAGCTGAGCACGAACCAAAAGGTTGGCATACTGCAAACCCATCCATATTTCATTAGCAAACTTGAAATACCTAAGGACTTAAAATATTTACCTAAAAATGACAGCCACTAGTCACAGAACTCCGACATACCTCTACACCTGAATTTAATCCACAAACATCACATAAGTACATTTTCCAGTTGGAAGGGAAGCCTGTAAAATCTCAGAGTGCTAAAAGGGAAGCCACCAGAATCACCACTTACATGACATGGGACATCAACTCTGCTCTTTACTGAAATTACATAATCATCCCTCAGAGAGAGCTGGTCCAAACTCTGATCCTCTGCCGATTCTCTGCACTCTGAAGGACTTCTTTGTCTTCTCTAAACTGGTCCAATCTGATCTTCTGAGATTGCACTTCATACATGACTAATCACATTAGTCATGTATGAACTTCATATGAATTCATCTCAGAATCAGACCTGCAGGGCGGGTCCTTGACACGGGTATTTGAACGGTAAACTTTGTGCAATGACGCTCAAATAAATTACGGCCTTTTTGGGAAGAGCTTCTGGGCTTTTCAGACCACGTACGTCACACGGACGGCCTGGTGAAAGGGTGGGGGCTGTGAATCTGCAGTGTGGGAAACGCACTGCGGGGCAGGAAGGCAGAAAGCAGGAATGAGACAGTGAGTAACCACTTATACATCAGGACATCATTACAAGTGCAGCTGCTACACTGCAATGCACATGCAGGACCAAAATTCAGACGCGTTGAGGGTACATTTCACTACATGTTGTACTTGTATAACTATGTATGTGACAAAGATTCTTGAATCTCTGTGTTATATTACACACGATCCTTAGCAGCGTAGGCTAAGCTGGAAGATGGACGCTATATTAGATTAAGGGTATATGGGTGTGCAGGGGGGCGTGACTCACAGGAAGACTGCGTCAAACAACCTTAGTCTCGATCCGCAGCACCGGTCCCTTGTGCTGGGGTCGGCTTAAGTGGGCAGAGCAGAGAGCAGGTTTTCGGCCTTCACTTTCTGGAAAAAGTGTACGGTACTCTGCACTGTTTGGTCTCCTTGGCAGCTAAAAGCGCTGCTGCATGCAGAGGCACATGAGTCACGCACACTGGCTACTAGACAGCTAGAACACCGCTAGAACCAAGAGGCCAGGGCTGCAGCGCACAACTCGGGCCAGCAGGGGGAGCTAAAGAGCCAGATTCTCAGAGCTGCCTTTAAAAGCCGGCTGGAATTCCTGATGCGTGCCTCATCGACTGATCTACCTTCAGGGGAATCTCTCTTTAAACAGGTGCACGAAGGCCCAGCGCAGAGCACTTGTTCCTCATCCTCAAAGCTGCATGACTAGCACCGCCGGGGACATATTCCGGCATCTGACGGAGCATCCATGTGCTGAAGGGAGGGGCTCAGCGCCACCGCAGCTTCAGCTGCACTTCAGCCAAGACCGGATGCCAGAAAGTCACGCCTGCAGCCGAAACCGTCTCGCACAAATGGGTGACGCCCCTTTTTCGGCTTTCCGGGATCCGGGCTGCGGTTCCCCAATACGGCTACAGTAGTAGTCGCATCCATTCCCCCTTCTTATCTGATGGCTCATTTTAAAGTCAGGTTCTCTGTCAAGCAGGTTCCCCATTCACACCTCCCACCGGGCCCCTGCTCAGTAACTGGTGCACATTCAAGCCATGTGAGCCACGTCAGCCAATGGGATTTGACAGGAAGCGAACTCACAAAGAAGCAGTGTTCACATGTGCACTCGATCACGACTGCACACATTTCAGATGGGGCTACGGGTGATGCTGAAACAAGCCGGCACAACCGCCTCTCTCTCCATACACGCATTCCCCACCACGTCTTAGACACTCCCTCTCACACATGGCTTCTCTTTCACCACCACTCACCCACTCTCACACACACACACACACACACACACACACACACAAGCCCTCCTCCGTCCCTGCCAGCAAAGAAATACTGCTGTAGCACTGTGACAAATCGAAGTCCCCATGCTGATGATAATCAACCATCTCAGAATTAAGTGCCAGAAATCAAAAGGCATTAATGACGTCTCACCATGAAGTTATTCATCATCTCAGTACATCTACCCCAAAGGGACACTCCCAGAGCCAGCAGCTATACAGACCATGCATCTAAACAATTCTATGCATCTCCCCCAAATAAAAACCTTTCCATGAATCCCTTTACGTGCGTGTATACTCTAGGCCTGTCACTCTGTTTATCTGTGCCATAGCAACGCCAAGCCTCAACCCTTTACCCTCATATACAGGGTCTGCAGGAACTTCCCCTTTTCTCTGCAGAGTCACATGAAATCGGCAGCAGCGCCCACACGTGTGCAAGATGAAGAGGAAACGCCACACGTCCCACGCGCTGGTTTAAATAAACTTTAAGCGATGACACCCCCATCAAGCCACAGTCAACGCATGGGCTGACGGTAAATTTAATTAAAAGAGTAAAGTGGCGACACTGTGGGGCTCCTGGGCACGTGCTGCTGGGCTTCCGGGAGAATCCATCGCCTAGCATTACACATACCGCTGTGGCACACGCGTCCTGACCACACTGGTGTGCTGAGCTGCTCTCAGTGCTTACTTTTCTGGGGGAAATGGGAGCATAAGAGTGGAATGAAGAGGAAACCCAGAGGGAGAAGATTCTGATTCCCACTGAGGGCTTTGGGCAGGGATAATGTAAAGCGCTTTGAGAAAACAAAAAAAGCTGAATTGAACTGAAGTGTCTACGACCTGGAGATCATGTTTTTAAGCCCAGACTCCTGTTAGTCATGCTGAACCACAGCCCTAAACACCCGCAGAAAGAGGCTGGCCAGCAGCAACACTGTCACCCAGCACATCCTCAGTTTCAGACCCATGACTCGCAGGACCTGGCGAGAGGGAGGGACCGCGTTACGTCCAGCAAGAGTCCGATTTCCAGCAAGAGTCATGGCAGGGGGTTTTGAGTCGGCAGAGTATCCTGAGGAAGGAGAGGAAAACAGGAAAGGGGGGGGGGGGCGCAGGCGATTTTACGCTGGCATGAACGTGGCCTCATTGATCCGGACAGCAGTTGACAGCATTGGGCAGAGGGACCTAAAAAGCTGCATGTTACCTTCCGGAATCGCAATTTAAATGATACATCCAGAAGTCTGTAGAAATGCACCGTAAATTTATGCAGGTTTCAGGTGCCATTATGGGTTGAAACTGTAGAAATCTCAGGAAGCAACTGAGAATCAACGTCTTATAATCCCATCCTCTGGTAGTACGGTGCGTTCCATTACCTCTCCGAACGTGTAAATTCCGAGGTGCATGACGTCACTTCCGACCAACCTCCCGTTCGAGCTACTACATCTCGGAACAAACATGGCTGCCTCTACACACACGCTGCTGTGTGTTGTTGCTTTTATATTCTAGCAGATTTGGAGCAAGATTCTTTTTTCCAAGAGACAAAAAAAACAAGAAACACAAACTAGTCAAACCACATCAAAAGCTTTACGCACATTTTAGAAGATCCATAGCGATATTCTTTTTTCCAGAGGCAAACAAACTACAAACAAACAAAATACACTAACAAGTGTATCTGATACATCTGATATTGCATGGTAGGATACTGTTTACAGTCATGATATAGAATTCTCTAAAATCGACCACGTGCAATTACATTTATAACTATTAATACATTTAACAAAATAAACATTTTTAAATATTTATGAAATAGAATTACTGTTGACTGTGTAAGCCGCCCTGTTGAAATGACGACGCGGGAATCTCGGACAACAAAATTCTCTGACAACGACATCGAAAAGGAGCAGTGTTTCCGACAGGAAGTGACGTTTTTCATATCGTTTTTATCCAAATTCCGACTCGAGCGAGACAATCGAACGCAGAATAGTGCCGAGCATGTGCAAAACCGCACAAAACCGACCAATCAGTCTGAAGCATCATTCTCAGGCTCATTAATGCATCAGACGTCGCTCAAGATGGAATCAGTGAGAGCTGTCATCGTCAAGTTGTCAGTACTGCAGTAACCTGCATTGGGGGGGTGGGGGGGCGGGGGTTACTGGATAGGTTCATATACATTTGCATTTTGACTGTAAAACCTGTTTGAAATGTACACCCAAAGAAACACCACATTAATAAATAATTGGTTTCATTTATGAAGCATATCAGAGGGAAGAAAAACAGATGTTTAGATGGATGTAAAAGAGACGGCAAAGCTGGCTTCTATAGCAGAACTGATACATCCAAATATGCTGGAATAATGCACCTTCAGTAAGGGGAGTCATCTTCATTCTGGCCTGCCAACATCCAGACGTTTGCCATGGCGCGTGACTGAAGGCAGAACCAAAAAGAAAACACTTTCTAGCAGAAATGCTGAAAAACACGCAGCAGTCACAAGTCGAGCTGCAAGCTGTGAAACTACAACACCCACTTCGATTCGAAACCCGTTATGAAAACGCCCACAAATGTAATTACCCGTATAACAATTATGTACTGTAATAATATACTATCAAAACAAGCTCCGCACGACCAAGAGAACTACAAAATATAATACAAATTACACACGCCTCCTTAAAATTCCTGGCAGCTGTGATTTAATAGTCGGCCAACGTCGGCCTGAAAGTGCACCTATCCAGCAACAAAACTAAAATACACTGCACTGGAGAAACATCGACATAAATACTAGCACGCAGCATGCAGATAGCAGTGCTGATAAGAGATGCGACAGCAGCAGCCTTATCAACCTCAACAGGATCTAACCGAGCTACGTTTGATCAGTCAGGTGATTGATAAATTAAGGGCACAGACATGACCTGAAGGTCACTGGTTCAGGTTCCAGGCGCGGAGCCCACAGCCACAGCCCTGAGCAAAGCGCTTACATTTACATTATTTAGCAGGTGCTTTTACCCCATGCGACACACGGTTGAGAAAGCAGGGTCACTGGAACAACTGGGGTTAAGGGCCTTGCTCAAGGGACCAGCTGTGAAATCACTCTGTCAGCTATGGGGTTTCAAACTGGTGGCCTCCAGGCATGGAGTTTTAACCCGAACCACCCTAGTAAAATATCAGGATAGATGAAAGGGCAAAAAAGATTAAGCTCTTTTACACCGACTAGCTTAAAGGGCATTAGAGTTGATTCTGCTGCGCTTCCTCCTCGCCACGCACTGAATGTGTCACTTGCTGACGTCCGACCAAAATGGCAGAAAGGCAGGCATGACGAGTGTCGAGTGATTTATGGCACCTGGCCACGCATCTCGAGGCCCCCAATGAGCTCCTGAAAAATGCTGCTAACTACAACTGAGAAAACAAATATTAATGCAGGTCTACATGTGAGTGGGTGACAGCACTATGTAATATCCTCAGATCGAATCAATTATTGTCCCACGGGGGCAATAAGCCTAATAATATAAAAGCTAATATAGGGCAGGGTAATGCAGCAGGTAACACTTTCACTTTCCACCTCAAAGGTCATGATGGATGCACGTTAGCAGCAGACACATATAGCACTTTCTTGAAATAATATTACAAAAATATTTCATTAATTGTGTTAAAAGGGTGTTCAGGTAATAATGTTATTGGGCTAATATTGACAGGACCTTTGTTAAAATGTAAAACACTGAAATAACGGTTAATTAAACGTTACAACGTTCTCTGACAGCTTTGAGAAGACCTTCGCGGTCTGTGACGGTGGCTAAAGTTCGGAGAACGTCCCCCGTTAGATGGGAAACGGGAGAAGCCACCAAGTCAAAATGATGGAGGAGCAGTGGCTGACCCCTGGCCTCCTGTAAGGGCTTGTTACAGTGTTGCAGAGCTTGAAGGACTTTTTTTGTTATGGGTAAGAATGGACTCTAATACACAGTCGAACAGAAACAGACCTGAATGCTGGATAGTATTGGCCTGCCAAAGAATGTGGCCACTACAGATGGAACTAGCGCTACAATTCTGCATGACTACAAAAAAAAACCCACCTGCCCATGTCCACTGCAGCACCGGTTGAATGCCGCGCCAAACGCCAACTGACTCTATGAAATCAATAACGAGTGCTGCAAGTTTTTGCACCACAAAGGTTCAAGAGTCGTAGCCTTCAAACGACCAACATTTCTGCTTACATGTCGATCATAAAAGTCCCAGAAAATAAAAAAAAAAAGGTGGACTGGATCAATCTGCCTCAGTGACCTGTGGTGACTGCATCGGTCTGGATGCCAATGCAAGCGAAGGACAAAGACTGTCTCACGTAATGCTCTGCTGAAAATTATAAAGCCAGGATGTTAAAGGGAAACAGAAAAGCGGAGAAGGAGGCATTCTCCTTCAAATTCCCCCGCGAATGTGAAAATTTGCAAATAGTTTTTTGACCTACTGTTACAAATGCTAAATTAACGGCACTGCGAGAAACATGAGTTTCTTTGGTCACGAAGCCAGCTTCAGCTTCAAGTGCCGAGACAAAGATGCACGGCGTACCAAAGCCAAGATACATCAATCCCGCAGTTTTTTTCCCCAAAAATAATTTTTTATATTAAAGATATAGTATGCATTTACACTAACAAATATTAAACACCACATTTATACATTATAGCATTTTATGTGATCCAAATCATTTTTAGTAACGTTTATATTAATATTTGGCTTCCACGGCATCTGCAAGTTTCTGCAATCTTTCGCAAATAATAAACTGCCAATATCAAATTCACAAAATCTGGAGGGGTGAGTATACGTACGTTTGAAAGTAAGGTTTACAGAAAGACTAAGGACAAGTCCCATTAATAAAATGAAATCTAGAAGGCACTCACAGATTTAAAACACGCATGCCGCTTCATGCTTATTCACAACAGACAAACATGCATATATATCATTAAAATACTTAGTTGGCTAGCAGATTACATTATGGAAGTTTGGTATTTGATGCAATTATCTTGTTGTAATACATTCAGCTGTAATAACATGTCTGGCTACCTAAAACAGCAGTGTTATTTAAAACCTTATACACACGAGGCTAAAAAGGCATCATTTTTCCAGAGACCATGCAGTGAACACAATAATCTACTTCAGCCATGTGAGAGTGAAGGTGCACCCAAGAGTGGGAGCCATGCAAGGCACTTTTAATCAGCCTATTCTTGATGAAGAGTGAATTAAGATGGTACATTAAGCGCCCTCAAGAAATACAGCATGACACTTGGCTTTATGCACCACATCAGGGAAGTCTGATGCACCATCATAAACGGCAGCTTGTGCCACAAAGACATACTGTGATGTAGTAACAGACATGGCACAGGAGGACAGCATTAAGTCATTTGGTGTGATGTCTCTGCCTTTCAATTAACGCTGCAAATCCCCACCCCCCAATTCTAGCCAAATTACAAAATGACACAAAAAGAGGGAATGAAGCTCATTCTGTTTCCCAGTCCCTCAAAGATCAGCTTCATTTTGCATACCGGACGTTTAAATTAGGAAAATCAACACCGCAAACAGAGAAAACCTAAAAGCATATAGGCTGAAAAATACCCAGATATACACTCTTACAAGGGAGAATCTGATGAGCCTGGATTAATAACTTCAGATAGACCCCATCTGAACAGATGTGGGGGTCAAGATTTTAATGACTTCCTCACTCGTATAAAATGCCATTCATAAAGGCAGGCAAGTGAACGTCACTCTTGACAAACTACCAGTACGTTGCTCTTGGGTCCCTCGTCACCATGGATGTAACGCCAGGGGTGTTTCTGGCACTTAAAAATGAAACGAACTACTGTCACTAACATGAGCCGCAAACTAAAACACAAATGCCCTACAGAAAAGCTGGATAAGCTTCAGAAAACTCACTCCACCACCATTTATCGTTAAAGGCGTCCGAAAAAAAGTCAGTCATCACACAGACTTCTCCATCCTTCACGAAAGTGCCAGGAAGCTGCCAAGTCCTCCGAGGTGAAATAACGAGTAAAATGTGAAGAGGAAAGGCAACACCTGCAAGACCAATTCTCTAGGCAGCGCCAGACAGCAAGGGTGGATACAGTAACACCCACCAAAAATAGACCCTTAGACACCGAACACCTTGACGCAGAGGAAGTTCACGCTGCCAATATCACCTTTCTAAGGCACTCAGGCATCTCATCTGCAATTTCCGGAATTTCTTCATGGTTTCAGGGTGGGAGACGCATTCCCTCGAGCGATAATCATATATGCCATGACCTAGTTAACAGAAGGATCCAAGACTGCTTTAAGGGAAAGTCAAACTCTGTTTTTACTTGTTTGTTTTTCATTAATTGCGATGGTGCATGGTGGACCACATGCAGCTCCAGGCCGTCACCATGATCACACCAAGTGCAGCAACCGTCGTACCGCATGACCGTAAGCAACAATCAGCGAACTTGAATTATTAAGACACAAAAGAAGGCATTGATACAGCAACATACAATACTGACACCAAATAAGCCTCCCAATGTTTAGGACGAGACAACAGAATCAATCGAAAGCAGAGTAGAATTACAACATCCAGAACAGCAAAAGATTCAGAAATCTGAGCACAACTTTCAAGAACAGCAGGCAAGCACTCTGAAACTGCATTTAAGAGACACAAAGTTTGTGACAAACATATTACTGTGCAGGAGAGATGATTATATACCAACAGAAACTATTACACCTGCACAAATAACAAACGCAATTAAAACTGAGAGGACCAAATCATTTATTTCAGCATGATGCCCACCAATCATACAAACTATGATAGACTGATGAGCATACAACCCATTGTGACAAGCAACCCTCTAATCATCCGAGACGACAACGACAGATGCGTTTGTCACCAAGAGTCACATGATATTGTATTTCAGGCTCATAACTTAAAATGAGTACATAGCGCGGAAAACAGTAGAGAGCATTCAGGACCTGTCATTCAGATGTGAGATTTCAAGCAACAAAGAGACCCCTGGAGACAGTATGTTAGTTCAAATGACTGTCTGACTAGCTATACATAATACCTGGCCATTGCCAGACTGCAGCTCCGCAATACCCCACGCGCCCTGAATTAGGAAACCACATATAGACACGTTTATTTCGAGGTCTACAAAAGAGACGAATCATATAATTCATTACATCACCACACATTCGTGCTGATGAATTAAACGGGAGGTGAAACTTAAGATGGACAGATATATAGAAGGGCAGGTAGACAGACAGACAGAGAGATGGACAGATAGACAGACAGAGAGATAGACAGATAATTATAATAAATTATTATTAATGGTGAAGGAAAGTGCAATGTAGCTTACAAAGTAACCAAGACACTGTAACAGGTAATAAAGGTACCGGGCCGGTACTGGAGGCGCCCTTACTGGTCGGTAGGCGGCGCAGTCAGGGAGAAAGCAACCTCCTCTTCCTCGTACTCGGGACCGTCTAAACCGTCGCCTTCGTCCACTGAGCCGGAGGGCGGAGGCGGCAGCGGGGGAAAGGCGCCGGGCCCGTCCGGACTGCCGGTGGTGGGCGACGGCGCGCTGGCCGGACTCTCGGGCGTGGGGGAGCAGGGCGCCGCGCTCCTCCCGACCAGACCAGGGACAAACGCACCGTCAGGCGACCCGTCCGGGGAGCGCCGGGCGCCGTGCGGTGCCGGGGGCGGCGCGGTGGGGGGCGGCGGGCGCGGCTTGGAGAGAAACGGATAGCGAGCCGTGAGGGGGCCGGTGTCGCCGCCGCCGTCGTCCGCGGCCATCATCATTCCGCAGCTAGAGTGTGAAGGAGCGAAGGGGACGGCCGACCCCCAGCGCCCCGTCTGCACGGATCTCTGTCACAAACTCCCCGTCTTCAAGACAAAAAAAGAGACTAAAGTCCGAGCCGGACGCCGTGTGATAGAACCGCTGGGCGGGCGCAGCGCTTCTTAACTCCGCAGAAAGCTCCGCAGCTCCAAGTCTAACGCTTAAGCAGCATCTCCGAAAAAAAGTTTCAAGTATTCACTTGATTTCCCTCAAACTTCCAGTTTAAGGATGGCACTGCGGGGTCTTATTTCCCCCCTACCCAAAAAACACGCCGGGGCATGTCGCTTCCCGAGTCTCTATCCCGCGTCTTCCCGTTTTTGTGCCACTTTCCCTCGGCGGCGGCTACATATCGGGAGCCGATCGGCGGCTCCCCGCCCTGCTCTCCCCTATACAGTGCAGCCAAGCGCAGCCTTTCTCTTCAGGAAAGGAAAAAAGCCGAAGTGCAATCAAGTTTGTCTCATTCGCCTGTGGGGTGGGAAGATTTGCGGCGTCTCTCTTGCGCAAGTTGCCGTTCCCCTCTCCTCCTGCTCCCCCCTCGCAGCCGCTTACAAGGCCGGCGATTCTGCCAGCCATGCGTACTTTCTCTGCCTCTCTCTCTCCGCTCGGGTCCCGTCCCGACCAGACAAGACCAAACGAGCCCAGAACCATCGGCACGCTTCCATCGATATCATCTGCAGTTCCCTCGTGGTCTCGGGGGTGGTACATAGCTCCCCTCTCCCAAGTGATAAACATGTATTCCATAACCTAGATAATAGACGATTTTAAGATTGAATTAAAAAAAAATCCACTGGGGTCCATAGTCCATGCTAAATGGTGTACATGTTGTGTGTTTGTCATTTCAGCCATATACACAGTACACAGTGAAACGCAACATTGTTCCTCCAGGACCATGGTACAACACAAAGAACAAGAGAACAAAAACAACACAAGACTACACAAGTGCAGGCAGCACAGAACTCTACAGAGTGCAGTGAGAGCAAAGAGACAGAGTGCAAGGTAAACACAACAAAACAACATTACAGGGCAAGGCGACTGAGTGCAGCTAACAAAGGCAGTAACAGTACTCGTTTGAATGAATACAGTATTTGACAGATACTGTACTTCTGGCAGCAGAAGTGTGCAAAAAATACAAGATTTAGGTAGATAGCAATAATTAATTGTGCACACAATAGCAGCAACAGGACAGAGAATGCGTAGTATATAATAAAGGTAGGGTATATACAGTGTGTGTAGGGGTACAGCTTATGATTCAGTTTGAGGTTAGATACTGTTTCCCATCATGGCAATGAGAACACCAAGGAACTTGGTGGTCTTGGTGATCTTCCCTGGGGATCCATTGTTGTTCTGTGGAGAGTAGTCACAGCATGCCCTCCTGAAGTCAACAGCCATCCCCTTTGTCTTATTCACATTCAGAGACAGGTTGCTGGCTGCACACCTGTCCGTTAGCCGTCGCGCCTCCTCTCTGTACACCGCCCCAACCTTCCCATTGATCAGACCCACCACAGTTATGTCACCAGCACACTTGATTATGTGGTTTGAGCTGTGAATTGCTGCACAGTGGTGGGTCAACAGCGTGAACAGCAGAGGGCTGAGCAAACAGCCCTGGGGGGGGCAGTGCTCAGCTCGGTGATACTGGAGATGTTCCTGCCGACCCTGACTGACTGAGGTCTCCCAGTCAGGAAGTACAGGATCCAGTTACAGAGAGAGGTGCTCAGGCTCAGAAGTCTCAGCTTTCCTGCCAGATGCTGAGGAATGATTATGTTGAATGCCGAGCTGAAATCAATGAACAGAAAGTGTCCTTTTTGTCCAGGTGGGTGAGGGGCAGGTGGAAGGTGCCGGCGATAGCATCATCCTTTCAGCGGTTGGGATGATATACAAACTGCACTGGGTCCAGTGAAGGGGCCACACATTGCTGAAGTTAACATTCTACCAGATCCATCCACCTTCTTCCCAAATTTTCTTGATCATGGTAAAATCGGGGCTAGATCTGACCCTATGATCTGACAGTAGGATTTGATCTCCCAATATATTAATAGTTGTTAAAGCAATCTAGTAGCCAGAAATAAATTCTGTGGGGGCCTCCGGCATCCCTACCGATAGGTCCCCTTAGATCGCCCTCGTAGATTATGGGGGCCAGGGGTTCCCTTCAGTAGATTTCACTGACCTGGGGCTGAAGCTGCTTTCGGTAGGGAGTCAAACTCATAATTTTGCTACTTTTTTTTTGGGGGGGGGGGTGATTTTTATCTGTTATTTTACTGCGTGGCTGCATGTTCCTGTTAATGTAATGAATATTTCTTTATGATTATTGTGTTACTTTGGTGAAATTCTGCAGTGACACTGTTTATGTCTGTAGCACATGGATATATAAAATGACAGTCTGGGACATGGTGTTGATCCCATCCAGCGTGTCCCCCAGCTTCATGCTCTATGCTGCCGAGGACAGCCCACCCCCCCCCGCCAGGATATGTGGTAAGAAGATGGATTTATGTTTGAAAATCAGTTACAAATATGGGTGGAGGTGCCTGTCGTTGTCAATTTACCACGTATGGAAATAAACCAGAGTGGGCCAGATGCGAGTCAGAATGTGTCACTGATAATAATAAATAAATAATAAAAAAAAAAAAAAAAGAATGTGTCACTGACATCACTAATTCAGTGACCACAACTATTTAAAAGTGTGTTCAGGTGACTCATCCGCTTTGTGGACAGAAGAAGGCTATGTGACTTTCCCAAGACCTTTTCTAGATTTAGGTTTATCACTGCTGTCACGTACATGCCTTATAGGAATCTTCATTACCTGCACTTCTTTCTCTCTCCCTCTCTCTCCCTCTCTCTTTTTCTCTTTCTTGTTTTGGCTAGGCCACCCTGCAGCTATTTCTCCACATTTGTGAGAAGGCTGCCCATGCTTCATAGCATCGAATGAGAGTCGGCGAGTGCCGCAGTCTTCAGACACTACGCATGTTTTTGTCCCCCTGCCCCAAGCTGCCACTTGGTCCCACTTTGCCCTCAGTCATCCTCCTGCGAACCGTCTGGCTCCAGCCAATTAATCTAGGGGTGGCAGAACTAATTATGCATTGATGCCAAGGCTCTTGCATTTGCGTCAGACACAACTGCAAGGTTCTTTGAGACAAAATATCGTTCCTCATTGGTTATAGTGCGATATATACAAGACATATAAACATGAGCCATATTCAGACATGACAGAATTCAGACACAGAAATCCAGACACAGAATTCAAGGCGTAAGTCAGTAAAATATAGTTAATAACAGATGGCACGAGTGTGCAATCGGACAATGGGATCGAATGAAAAAGTAGGAGGAATGTGCATTAAATAGACAAAATTGATTTTAGTTTGCAGAGTATCATCTTTATCCATTAGTGCAGTGGGTCTCTGCTTCCTCATTGGATGTAGAATAGGCAATGTGTGAAATGCATTACAGTTGGATTTTGCAGTATGATACTCTGCAGTGCCTTGATTCAGTTATTTCTGCCCTTCTGTCATTCTGCGTGAGGAAAATACTGACGCAGTGATTATCGCTCCATTGAATCACTTGACCAGGATAATAAAAGAAATGGGAAGTGATTTCAATAGCTGGACTGGCATAATCTTCTGAGTTAGCCATGATAGCATTAGCGTTCTGCCATCTACGGCAGCAAGGGTGCAGTGCTCAAGTGCAGTTACCTTCAGGGTCACGTTATGCAGTGGCCTGCTTCCTGAAGGTAATGACTGTTTTATTTCGGGTCAGGGGGGTATATGAGAGGTATGTAGCATTTTGTACCTGTAGCTTGTGTCATGAAGCAGATCAGTCCTCTTTAACCTTGTACCTCAGCACTAATGATGACACCGTGCCGCATGAGACACTCCTTGTAGACGCGCTCCCATTCCCAGCCTCTGGATGTTAGCCAGCTCTAGTTCCTCTTAGTGATTTGTGTAATACTTCACCTTTGCATATCAAGATCTGTAATCGTACTTACCGTCTGCAATGATATATTAGTCCGGCACAGCTTATGTATTCAGCTCATATACTCCCACAGTCCTGGTAAGAACACGATGGGCGGCATCTTCTGAGGCAGCGCCAACTTAGCAATCAAAGTTAGGCGGATATGCATGTATGCGTCTGAGACGAAGTGAAGTTTGCCTTGGGTGGCACAGGCTTCCACCAGCACAGGTGCTCACAGTAATCATCATTTTACCCGCTAATTATACCTTCTTCGTATTTGAAAGAATTCCGAAAGAGTAGCCAGTCAATTCAAGTCGATAACAGCTCAAATGTGGCCCCCAGCTCTGTGTGTGTTTGCATCTTCCCCTGGTGTCCTTCAGGATTTGCTCTGACTATTACAGTCATCCCAAAATCCAGAGTTGTGGTTTAGGTGGATTTGTGAGTCTAAATTGGCTTTTGCCCTGTGGATCACCTTCCCCTATAGAGCGTGCCTGAGATTGGCGTGCTGCAATCATGCACAGTAAGCAATAAATAGAAATGAATGTGTCTAATGCACCTTCTTATGGGCTGTAAAGCTGCACGTATTCCTCACGTAGCATTCGCTACATCATATTTGGTTCAGTAGACAAAATGAAAAGAATGAATACAGTTATTGACACGGGTGGAAGCTAAATTCACAAGTAGAGGATCAACGTGAAAATAATTACGCTAACTGTGAATTGGTTACAGCTAATGCTGGCTACAGGCAGCCATAATCGGCGGTTTAAGAACAATTTGGTTTCAAACTGTTTTTGGCAAAGTTGTCATTTCCTTATCTTTTAGATGTATTTGGGCTCACTCTCTCATTTTAATGGCAAAACTTGCCTAGTATATATAGGATTTTTTTTTTACTAATTGCACTATTATATATTAAATAAATTTATCAATACCTCTGAGTAATGGCTAATTAGGTTTGTCAATTTTTCATCACCTTTATGCTTTATTATTTAAATAAAACTCATAAATGCTAGCCTATTTATTTCAAACTAATTACATCTGTCCACATTATGCTCCAATAAAATCTCTCTATCTTTCATTATCATATTGTATTAAAAAATGCAGAACAGTGAATGAAAATATGTAAATACAAATATTACATTTAGAATATGCAAATTAAAGCATTAAAAACAAAATTACAGAAAAATATTATTGCGCTTTCTGTATATATGTTGTAAGAGTGTGTTACAATGTGGCTTAATACATAGTAATTTATACAATGTGCAGTGCAATAATATGATCTATTTTCCTCATTCAAAATTGCTCAGCTAAAAGAGATGGAAAAACACCACTGTAGCACTGCACTGGCCTCTCTTGTCTGTCTCTTAGGAAACTTCGCAACTTTCCACTTTTCAGTACTGTTTACCAGCAGTGAGTCTGCATTGTTAGCAAATGTACAGCGGCCAACCAATGCATGAGCTGACCACAGAAAATCCATGTGGAGAATCACAGGTGACAGTAAGGTGAAAAAAACAATCTGTGGGCTTATGTGAAAGATGACCAATGAAACCCAACAGTGGGCTTCGTGTGGGCAAGCCCAAGTATCGGCAGCCCACAGGAAAATCTCAGCAAGGCCCAAGCAGGAAGCCTCGCTAATTTCAACGCTGTCTGACTGCTCTGTTACACTGAACTCAGATATATTGCTGGAAACACATTCAACGTGCTAACTCATAGGAGATTACATCATCCGAGTGTGTCTGACCGGAGTAAGGCAGAAACGGCCTCTGCAAGTTAGTCTTCCCATGTCAGCCAATTCAGAGAAAAACATAATTGTGGTTATAGGGGTAGAATTTCAGCAGTTATTATTCCAAAGATATTCCACTAACTCCACCCCACTCCAGACAAAAATGTGTATGGAGTATGGATCAAAATAATTCCCTTTCCGTACAAAATGAGACATTACTCATTGCTGCAAAAGGATAACATGAAAAATTTAAAGTAGCTTGAATAGATTAAATTGAAACAGAAATTTAATTAAACTGAAGAGATTGCTCAAGTGTGGAGTTTGAAATGTACTCAAAATCAGTTAGAGGGCTCTCATCTAAAAACAGTGTCTGGCTGTACTGGGAAAGGCAAGTAGCTTACACTCTACTGGTACACTGACATCAATCCATACATCCATCCATTTTCCGTAACTGCTTATTGAGGCTTGTGGGGGGTCTGCAGCCCATCTCAGAGGCTACGGGTGCAAGGTACACTGACAATCCACTCATTTAAAATTTTATTAAGATAAATTTCACAGAAAATGAATTACAAGAACGTCTTGGATCACAACCAAAAGGTTCATATAAAATCAGCAGCATAATCAGATTCTCTGACACTTGCTGCCATGAGTTGTGCCAACAGACACAAAGCAGAGCCAACAATTCACTTGCTTTTGCTCAATATTTTCTCTAAGGAATCCAAAATATTTCCATGCAGGGAAAGACGAAAATCTTCTGGTGATCAGGTTTTGTTTGCATGTTCCTCTCACTCATTTTTGTGAAATTTCTCACAAATGCGCCACATTATGAGTAAGCAAGGACGAGTTCCAGTCTTAAAGTCTCAGTCTTTAATTTATTCACTAAAACTGCTCACGGTAAAAGTGGGTTAGAGCAGCTTCAGACAAAAGTGTCAGTTCTGCAGGCAAAAAAAATGGCCAGGTAATAATGTTGATGGTTTTGTCATGGAAGCAAAATAAAATCATTGGATTAGCATTAAAATTTCAATGGGGCGGACTGTCATTTAGAGGCCGGTGAAAACAGTCTCTGTGAGAGAAAAGGGGCTTGGAAGGAATGTGTACCCCGTGAGATTTTCTGTGAGCCATCATGTCTAATACAGCCATGGCTGAACAAAATTTGAAGCGTGTGCTTTGCAGCTGTGGCTCTTCTTACAGGGATGGCAGACGATCGGGCACCGTGCCATTCTTGGGGTGCAGGCTGTTTGTGAAAGCAAGGCTACATGGATCCCAGAGACCCTCGCCGAGGGTCACATGACTCGGATCTGTCCACAAGATGTAAACTGCGTCATGTCGAGTCTTTGAGTTAGCGTGACATAAAACCTTGGCCACATGTATGGTAGGCAAGTAGACAGATGATAAAATATGTGTTTTTCAGGCTGGGAAATTATACTGGATATTTCTCAAGCTTGACACTCCTCAGAATGATGGACAAATAAAATTTGACTTTATGCGGTGCTTTTCCAGACACCCAAAGCACTTCGCAGAAGCAATATGGAGCCCCCACCTGGATGATGTGACAGCAGCCATTCCGTGCCAGTACGCTCACCGCACAGTAGCTACAGTGATGACGGGGCAGTTTGTGGTTAGGAAGCCAGGGCATCACCTATACACGTTTGAAGAAGGTCCAGGGATCTTTTATGACCTCAGAAAATCAGGACCTCATCTCATGGACAGAACCATTTCTACAGTACAGTGCCCCTGTACTGGGATCCACAAAGACCACAGGATGGGCTAACCATCTGCAACTCAGTCTCCCATCCAAGGACTGACCAGCCCAAACCTGTTTAGCTTCAAATGGTTTTTCTGGTCCAAACTGTAGGTAGTAATGGCTGCTAACATGAAGATGACACTATCAATGGCAAAGTACATTATCCACTCATCTATCTTCTATATCTGCTCGTCCAATACATGGTTGATCTCAGGAACAGCAGAGCAGGACACACCCAGAACAGGATGCCAGTCCATCACTGGGCATGTTTTCTCACACTGTGGGCAATTCAAAGTCACCAATTCATTTCGCCGCACATTTTTCAACTGCAGCAGGACAGTGGAGGTCCTGACGAAAGTGCTCTCTTTATCATATGGCATAAAGTTCTGTTATAATTAAACGTCTTATTGACCGGAGAGAGTCTCAGCTTGCCACTGACATTGATGTTGACATTGAACCAGCCATCCCTTGTCAGCCGTGATTACAAATCAGTAATGGTGTCATGCGCTGACCAGGGAGGAGACGTAGGATCAGGGAAAATGCGGGGTTTAATGGGAGCGAACACGAAGGAACAGACAACAAAGCAGGTTGACATTACAATGACCGGACTGGGGAAACAAACGGAAACGCGGACTAAATACAAAGGACTAATGACAATAACCTGGAACGGCTAGTAAACACAGGGAATCCACACAGGGTTAACGAGGGGGCGTGGCACATTGAGGAATACGCTACGTGAGGAATACGTGCAGCTTTACAGCCCATAAGAAGGTGCATTAGACACATTAAAAGACACATTGTCAAAATGTGAAATTAGAAATAGCAGAGTTTGCTTAAATTAGTGGGAAAAAAATCAGTTCAGAGACTTTTTATGTAGAACTTGACATCAATTACCATTAAATGCAGAAATGGCCATTTCTGAAAAAAACACACTTGCTTAGTAACTTTGAATTTTTTTCACACAAACTTTGAGTTCTAAAACTGAAGTGTAGAAAAATCCAATCAAATGTTATGTAGAAAATCGAATTAAACTGGAAAGCTTGGTGTTTATTTATCAAAACAAGCTCAAAAGTCCGGCAATAAGAATCGGAGAGGTCAGCAGTTCCGCTGGTCAGTTTTCATTTCGCCTACCCATTCTGGGGCATACTGGCTGAAGAAAATCAATTTTGTGTAATGGAGTTCTCTTTTATAATCCCAGTAAATCCTCATCTTGATTGTGCAGAATGTCCATAAATACAAGAGAAACCACAGAGGTACAGTTAAACAAAGAATGAGGAAAATTACATCCAGGAATACCTCTGAGCTATGTTTATATTTCACTTCTTTTAAAGTAATTCAGATGACTGTCTGTTATAAATCCAGTCTTGCATTAGAGAAATAGTCGCTGAAACTGCAGAGAAGGGCTGTGTATACACCATGTTTCTGTTTATAGACCCTGCTGGGATCCCTATTCAGTGTGTGTGGCTGTGTATACACCATGATTCTGTGTATACGCCCTGCTGGGATCCCTATTCAGTGTGTGTGGCTGTGTGTACACCATGTTTCTGTTTATAGACC